GTGCCACTGCACTCCAGCCTGGATGACAGAGTGAGATTCTGTCTCAATCAATCAATCAATCAATCAATCAACATCACACCCAGAGATGGCTGGCAGCAAGGGACAGCAGAGGTGGGAGGGGTCTGAGCAACGTACTGCCAAACCATGTGAGGCAATTAAAAAAGAAAAGGTAGTATGGGTGCAAATGATCAGCCAAGGTAGCACTATCATACAGATATTTTAGAACAGAAGTGGGGTGGGGTGGTGAGGGCTATGAGAACGATCATGATGGCATGGGTTTTTAAAATCTCTCTAAATTTCTTCAGAAAAATAGGGCAACTAGGATGACAGAAAAATAACAAACCTTCTGATCACATCGTCAACAAAGTTAGGTTACGCAGCACCTCAGGATATGAGAGTGTGGGGTCAGACCACCACCACCAGCAGGACCTGTGGGACCCCCATGCGATTAGCTGCTGGGTAGAGGCAGCCAGGGGAAAAGAAAGATGGGTTCTCATGTCCTACGATCCTAAAAGTGCCAGACACAGAAATCTCCAAGAAGTGGCTGCCCCTCAAAAGACGAGGACGCCACTCTGCGCTGAATCCTCGGCAAGAGGAACAATGGGGCAGAGAGGGTTCCACAGGTTCCGATTTGTGGGCAAGAACAACAACAAAAACCCCACGGGAACCACTTGGGGTCTGCAGAGGTCAGTCGGCTGGCGTGGGCTCCTGAGGATGTCAGAAATGCCTCCCCAAACCTCCCTGCCAGAAGGACAGAGAACCACTCAGAGAAAAAGCAGCTTATGGTAGGATCCAAACTCAATGGGGTAAAAAGTGGGGTTGAGAAGAGAAAGAAGGTTCAGAAACTGAAGTCAGCGTCCAGAGACAGCAGCTCATGGAGGTGCCATGACTGTGGCATGTGGTGTGGTGTCATGACTGTGGAGACTGTGGAGGTGTCCATGCAGAGAGACAAGTGTTACCTCAAGGTAACTACCTGTCTTCTATTCCCTCCAGCAACTTGCCCTAAAAGTACAGCAAGGCCATCTATTTAAACAAGAGCAACAGAGCCTTATGAAAACATACTGTAAGAAAAACACAAACTGGGTGCAGCAGCTCATGCCTATAATCCCAGCACTTTGGGAGGACGAGGCAGGCGGATCACCTGAGGTCAGCAGTTTGAGACCAGCCTGGCCAACATGGTGAAACCCCGTCTCTACCGAAAATACAAAAAAAAAAATTTTAGCTGGGCGTGGTGGCAGGCGCCTGTAGTCCCAGCTACTTGGGAGGCTGAGGCAGAAGAATTGCTTGAATCCGGGAAGCAGAATTTGCAGTGAGCCAAGATCATGCCATTACACTCTGGCCTAGGTGACAAGAGCAAAAAAACGATGTCTCAAAAAAAGAAAAAAAAAAGAAAGAAAGGAAAATACAAAAACAAGTAACTGAATTAACACATACGCAGATTAACGGCAACTACAAAAACAGAGTCACCAACCAGATGAAGCTGATGATAATCTGATATTACAAATTAAGTGAAAAGAAACTAAGAAATTTTTAGAAACTGTGAAACAACAACAGAAATCAGAAAAGACAAGGGATAATTTGGTTAAACAGAATGTATAAAGAATTAGTAGAATTTAGGAAAGAATTAGGAAAAAGAAAAAAATCATTCTAGAAATAAAACCAGAAGAGGCCGGGCGCAGTGGCTCATGCCTGTAATCCCAGCACTTTGGGAGACTGAGGCGGGCGGATCACGAGGTCAAGAGATTGAGATCAACCTGGCTAACATGGTGAAACCCCATCTCTATTAAAAATATAAAAAACATTAGCCAGGCGTGGTGGTGGGTGCCTGTAGTCCCAGCTACTTGAGAGGCTGAGGCAGGAGAATGGCGTGAACCTGGGAGGCAGAGCTTGCAGTGAGCTGAGATTGTGCCACTGCACTCCAGTCTGGGCGACAGAGTGAGACTCGATCTCCAGAAAAGAAAAAAATATATATGTGTGTGTGTGTGTGTGTGTGTGTGTATTTAAATTTCACTTAATTTTCTGTGTGTGTGTGTATATATATATAAATACAAATATACACACATACACACACATATATATATATACACACACACACACGAATTAGCCAGATGTGGTGGCAGGCGCCTCTAGTCCCAGCTACTTGGGAGGCTGACACAGGGGAATGGTGTGAACCTGGGAGGTGGAGCTTGCAGTGAGCCGAGATCGTGCCACTGCACTCCAGCCTGGGTGACAGAGCTCGACTCTGTCTCAAAAAAAATAAATAAGTAAAACCAGATGAAACATAAGAACAAGCAGGCCAGGCATGGTGGCTCACACCTGTAACCCTAGCACTCTGGGAGGCTGAGGTGGGCGGATCACTTGAAGTCAGGAGTTTGAGACCAGCCTGGCCAACATGGTGAAACCCTGTCTCTACTAAAAATACAAAAAATTAGCTGGGCATGGTGGCACACACCTGTAATCCCAGCTACTCAGGAGGCTGAGGCAGGAGAATAGCTGGAACCCAGGAGGCAGAAATTACAGTGAGCCGAGGCGCTCCAGCCTGGCCAACACAGCAAGACTCTGTCTCAAAAAAAAAAAAAAAAAAAAAGATTTTCATGGAAGGTAAAAAGGAGCCAATGATTTTACACCCAGCCAAGTTACCTAAAAGTATTCTCTAAAAAGGTTACAATGAATTATGAACTTGCCAGAACACAGAGTTACAGTGTCCATGAACACTTGGAGGATTCTATCAGGGAATGAACTTTAGAAAACAAAATATCATAGGAGAAATTTTGGCATATGAAAACACATGTTCCTACTGTGTTAAAAAATGAAGAGAAATCCTTAACAGAGGCTCAATCCTGAGCAATTGAAATTCTAACTAGGAGAAGAGAGAGAAAATGAGTTGGATGATTTTTTCTAAATGTTATTTTCAGCTTCAGATTTCAAGGAAATTCCTTATGATATTTGCTCCTCTCCACATCCAATTTGAAACATTTTGCTACGCTTCTCATTATTGCTAAAATCATACATCCTATAGTACTCCAGCTGTTCACTCAAGATTGCCAGCAAGAAAATGGTTATAAAACCCGAAACATAAAGATTAAACTTTCTGCTCATTTTCTTAATTCTAGCTTAGCAAAAATTCTCTACACCCTGCCCGGTTCCCTTCAGAGCATTTGAACTATGTGATTCCTATGACAACTCACAGTGAACAACAAAATAAACTGCAAGCCTGTTAGGTTTATACTGTGTCCCAGTTCTTTGATGACCAGTTTACAAATACAAATTACATAGAAGAAACATTTATAAGTGCTATGTTTCCTTGGGAAAATAGTAAATAAAACATGGACTGTCTTTGGAGTGAGTCAAGACCCCCTTTTGTTTTTGCCAGAGTCCAGAAAGTGTGATTCAGTATAAAACCTAGCTTCTCTAGTTCTGACACTAACTGTAAAACCAACACTACTACTAAGAAAACATTATTTTGTACTAATACGGCATAAAAACCTAGACATATTTTTAGCGTTAAAATCAGAATAGACTAATTCTACATCAAGTGTTTTGCTGAAAATTGTTTAAATGTAAATGTAAAATGTTTAAATGTTAAAACATTTTAACTCCAAAGCACAGGTACAAAAATGATATTCTTCAATACCTACAGAGCTAACGAGCATACTGTAAAATATCAACTAAAATTTATGTCAGTCCAATGAAAGAGCTTAAATGTGAAAAGTATTAGTTTTGAGTGGACTTAGAGAAAAGAGAGGGGTTTTGGAGGTGCCATGATGAGCAGGACCAGTCTGGCAGAGGAAGAACCTTTACAAGAGAGAAAGAGGAGAGGCCTCCCAAAATTGGCGGGAAGATGTGCATTCTGGATCCAGAGGAGACTGGAAGTAGCCCATTGTGAAGGACCGGCTCAAGAGCAGCTTCTTTGGAAGGCAGGAGCCAGGGAAGTCTTTTTAGTCCTAGACTCACCCTTCTCAACTATGATCTGGATGTAGCCACCCAGACGGGCTGGGAGCACGGGGCCCAGAAAGCTCATGCTACTCTGTACATGGGAACCTCACTTCACATACTTGGGGGAGCATCAATCCTTTCTCCAAGGCCCAGACCTTTTCCCAGTGGGAGGAGTTCTGAAGGGTACACCGTGTAGCAGGGTAGCTGTCTGACGGCAGGTTTGCTGCTGAGAGAGTAGAGTAGAGGTTTGGGGACACAGGCAGAGACAGGCTGGGGTGTCCAGCTCAGCCCCTGATCACAGCATCGGCCTCCTGCATCCACTGCCCACAGCGGCCCGAAAGCTACAGTGGATGGCTGAGACCACCCCAGGCCCGGCTGTGCCACACATCCACTCTGGGCCTCAGTCCTTATCTGTGAAATGTCAGGGATGGGCCAGATCAGGGATCCCCAAAACAAGCTGGTCACACGAGTCCCTGGAACAGCTTTGTGAAAACACCCATTCCTAGGCCTACCCAGAGCCACTGACTCAGTGTTTCTGTGGGGCAGGACCTGGGGACAGGTATAGAGATTTTTTTGATAACGTAATACATATTAACTTTAGAAAAGACAGTGAAGAACAAAGAAGAAAATATTTTGAATGCAGGCACCTGTATTTTTTTTGTTTGTTTTGAGATGGAGTCTCACTGTCACCCAGGCTGGAGTGTAGTGGTGCGATCTTAGCTCGCTGTAGCCTCCACCTCCCAGGTTCAAGTGATTCTCCTGCTTCAGCCTCTGGAATAACTGGGATTACAGGCACACGCCACCATGCCTGGCTAATTTTTTTTTTTTTTTGTATTTTTAGTAGACATGGGGTTTTGATACGTTGGCCAGGCTGGTCTCGAACTCCTGGCCTCCAATGATCTGCCTGCCTCAGCCTCCTAAAGTGCTGGGATTATAGGCATGAGCCACCATGGCTGGCCAAGACCTGTATTTTTAAAAAGCTCATCGGGGCTGGGTACAGTGGCTCATGCCTGTAATCCCAGCACTTTGGGAGGCCAAGGCAGACAGATTGCTTGAGGTCAGGAGTTTAAGACACCAGCCTGGCCAACATGGCAAAAATCCATCTCTACTAAAAAATACAAAAATTAGCCAGGCGGGGCCCACCCAGCTATGATCTCCAACACTCTCATTCTCTCTCAAAGAAAAAGTGAGGAGGGACCATTTACTCCATTCCTGTCTGTTTGCACAGAGCTGCTAACAGATGCTACATTCCAGGTGCCCCCGGCATCTGAGCCTTCCCCCTCCACACACAGGTTTGTCCTTGGCCCATGGATCTTTCCATCCTTATGTCCCACAGTCCAGCCAATGAGGTCACCTTGGCTGCCCATGACATACTCTCCTGCCTCCCCAGGCCCTCGTCTGCTCCATGTCCTGAGATCCTGCACAATCTTCAGGACTCAATTCAAATGCCAATTCTTCCCGGAAGCTTTCCTCCACCCACCCATGCCTGTTTTGAAGCCATTCAGCAAACTGTTGCTATCCACGGCTTTCCAACATCTCTGGTCCCTGGTATACAGCAGTTGCTGAATATGTACCTGTGGAATAAACAAATGAATGAAGCCCTCTTGGAAAAGGCCAAGTTTTAAGCACAGTAGGCCAAAAACCCAGAGCCCAGGCTGACAGCCCTGAGAGGGCATGGGCCCCCCAGCACCTTACTTGTTATACAGCACAATGTCTGGCTTCCAGATCTTCTGTGCAGGGACACGCATGAACTCTGTCCCACCATAGTCAGAGGGGTTCCACTTCAGCTTGTAGTCATTCCAGATCTCGGGGAAGGAAGCAGGGAGGGAGAAGGAGACAGTAAAAGAATCAGCCTGGTTTTACTTCTCTTGGCACCACCCATCTTGGTGAGTCCTCACCCCTGCTGCATGTGACGGAGCCACATCCATGCCATGATCACATAGTCCAACTTCTCCTGTGGGTGCAGTGGGGAGAGAGCACAGGGCTGGATCTGCAGGCCGCCTCCTGGCACTAGGGAAGCCACTGCCCACATAACCGTGAGCAAGCCCAGCCCCTCATCAACCAAACAGGGTCTACTGGTGCTTTCTCTGGCCACTTCTAGTGCCAGGCGGAGCCTCCTGGACTTCTTGCACCATGTCCAGGTCCATGTGCCTGCTCTTTACAGCCCCTGAATGGTTCTCCAGGGGTGTTTTCCAATACAGACCCTCTTTCATCCCAAGGTTAAGCAAGGCTGGCCTCTGAAAGGTTCTGGGGGAAGAAGCCATGACCCCCGCAGGGCCCAGGAAGTGTCTGGGAGGTCTGAGTCCTGAGCACCAGAGGAGAGAGGGGTGAGGCTGCGGCCACAGAGGGAACGTGTGCATCAAGTACTGGGTGGGGCACTGTGCCCATCTGGCTTTCCAGCCTCCTGGGGATGAAGGCTGTGTGTGCTGAGTGCTCAGCTGGCAAAGCTGGCAGAAGGGTCACCAGCAGGCCAATGGGCCATTATGTCTCCTGGCAAGTCTGGACAAAGCCTCCCTGGGGAGGACATGTGGAAGCCAATTTCTTGGCCTCAATGTGAACAGAAAAATCTACTCCCATGCTACCAACAACAGCAGCATCTGAGTCTGACTTAAGAATGAGTTTCTGGGCTAGGTGCAGTGGCTCATGCCTGTAACCCCAGCACTTTGGGAGGCCGAGGTGGGTGGATTGCTTGAGCTCAGGCATTTGAGACCAGCCTGGGCAACATGGTGAAACCCTGTCTCTATAAAAAATACAAAAATTAGCCGGGCGTGGTGGTGCACGCCTGTGGTCCCAGCTACTTGGGAGGCTGAGGCAGGAGAATTGCTTGAACCCTGCTGGTGGAGACTGCAGTGAGCTGAGATCGCACCACAGCACTCCAGCCCAGGTGACACAGCGAGATCCTGTCTGGAAAAAAAAAATTGAGTTTTTAGCAAGGAGAGAAGGAGGTGTCTCAGGCACCACCCTAGGGTTTGGGGGCAGGGCTTCAATCTCAGGTTCATACTCTTCTGTTGTTTGAACATGGAGAATGTCTTTCACCAGGCTGAAACCTGTCCAACTGGGACTTGAGGGGTTGGGCCCTACAGTCCTTCCAGGAGGACTGTTGGGCAGTGCATGTGACCTCAAGCCTTAGAAGAGATAGATCTGCCAGTCAGTCCAGTCTGGGTTCTACAGAAGTAAATAAAGCCTGGTCGTTGGGCCCTTCTTGGTTCACCTGAAGCAAATAAAGAAGTCACCACCAGGGGGCAGCAGTGCCTAGGGTCTGGTCACTTACTTGCTTGAGCCACAGGTTGGTCTCCATGATCTGGTTTACTTCATCCTAGAAAGACGGATTAAAGTAGACAGGAGAATTACATAAACAAGGCTCACTCTGGGAAAGGCTCCTTCAGAAGCTCTGGTCCCCATAGCCACGGCTCGTGGCTCCAGCACTCACCACCTTCACCAGCTGAGACATGGACACCTCGAAATGGATGATGACTGGGTCGGACACGTTGGCCACAGGCCGGATGATCTCATTGTAATCTTCAAACAGCCGCTCAAATAGACGGTGCTCGGCCTCTGAGGCCCTGGCCACTGGGGGAAGCAGCCCTGTCAGTCCCGGGGAAATCATTACTTAACCTCCCCCACCCAGCCCACCAGAAACATCACCCATCTACAGCGTCCCCTCCACCTGTGGAGGGATTCTGTGGAACCCTAGACTTTCAGGCTAGTCTTATCCAGTGGGTTACAGAATGGGAAACTGAGGCCCAAGAGGAGCAGGATTCTACCAGGCCACACACATTCAGTGAGAAGCACAGTGGTTGCAAGCCTGGGTTCTGGAGTTGGACAGATCTGGTGCAAATCCTGACAAATCACTTGTGAGCTGTGTGAGCTTAGGCAAGTGGCTTAACCTCTCTGAACCTCAGTGTCTTTACCAGTCAAAATAAGGATTATAAACGTATCCACCTCAAAGCGTTGTTGTGAAGGAAGTGCACAGCTTGGTGCTGTGCTAAGAGTTCAAGAACTATTCACAATCCTTTCCTGGGTTGTTACTGCAAGGCAGGAGTGTGGTGCAAATGCTGTCTGCCTAGATACAGCCACTTGCTGCTTCCACTATGGAAAGATGGCCAGTCCTCCCCCAGGGGCAGGGTCACCCACGGTCACCCAGGCCCAGGTCTTCTGCCTCCCAGCCTCTGGGAGAACGCAACCCAGGTCTGGGCCTCTCCTGCATTGCACCCTGTAGGGGTTTGGCCACCAACCCTCTTAGAAGCCAGGGCACTATGTGGCTCCCGTGATCTCGTGTGACCCCCAGCTCTTGTTGATGCTGTCTTCACATCCTGATCAAAGACTCTGACCTCTTTGCAACCCTTAGGCACCCCTCTTTGTTCCTAAGCCACACCCCAGTACAGGTGAGGCATACGGGGGTCAGCTGTCTTCTGATTTCCACGTACAGATCCGGGGGCAGCTTGGGGAGGCGGGAGGGGAATCCTCTGGGAAGTTGAATCCAACTTCGTCAGGTCTTGAAATGGGATTTTTCCAGCTCCCCCCTCCCCTTCCCCAGAATGAAAGGAGGGTCCCAGGCAGGAGGTCGGTTGAGAGTGTATGGCCGTTCTGAATAGTAGAGGCCTCGGCACCGAGGGCAGAAAGCGCTCTGAGCGCACAATCGCACAACAGACCGCCCGCCCGGGCCCGCCGGGAATTCCCTGCAGCCCTGCCGGGTCCCCGACCCTCGCTATCCACCAGCCCTCCCAGGCACCCAAGAGCCTCCCAGCGGCGGGCCAGGGCCGGCTTCCCCCAGCAGGCTCCTCTGGAGAGCGGGAGGAAGACGGGAGGCACTCTCCCGGTGGAAGGTCCCACAGCGAGGCGGCCAGGAGCGCTAGGGGCTAGGACGGGAGGAGAGGCTGGCGCGCCGGCTCCAGCCCCAGTCCCGAAGCGACTCTCCTTTCCCCCAGGTGGCCTTGGCCGAGTCTTTAGCCACCTCTGGATACAGTTTCCCTATCTATCCGTCAAATGAGGAGGTGGGCGGGGTGCAGACGGTGGAGCGGGTGGCTTGGGCGTGCCAGTTTGGGAGCCAGCGCGCGGGGCAGGGCGACGGGCAGCGCTGGGACGCGAATCCCCAACTCCTGCGCCCAAGACGAAGGACCCAGTCTCGACCTCCCCATTACCCCGCGCCTACCAGCGCCCGCTCGGTGACTCCCAGGTTTGGTGGTGGCTAGGGGTAGGGGGCGAGCCGAAAGGGAAAAAGACACCCCACCCAAGTCGCCGCCGGGCTGGAGCGAGTTTGCGCGGGTTCCGAGTTCCCGGCTACGGCGCCAGCCTTCTCCGCTCGCCCGCGCGGTGCTCTCACCGGCAGCCCCTCCGGATCCCGCGCTTCCTCTCGGCCGCCCGTTCCTCCGGAGCCCTAACGCCCGTGAGCGTACCTGGCAGCAGAGACAGCAGCAGCAGCAGCCGCGGCGGCGACAGCGGGCGAGAGCCCATGGCTGGTGGCCGGGCTGGCCGCGGACCCGGACGGTCGGGAGAGGGCGCGGCGGGCGCAGCGACGGCCTCTGCCCGCGCGGCTCCAGCGCAGACCCCAGACCCGGAGCCCTACGGGCGGAGACGCAGGGGCCTCCTCTCTGCTTCGCCGCCGCTGGGTTTCCGGCGCCCTCGGACCTGCCGGAGGACAGGAGTGCAGCTGCGCCAAGCGAGGGCGTGCGTGGGGCGGGGCTGGGCGTACGTGCAGTAGGGGAAGGGGCTCCGCGTGGGAGTCCCCAGCGCTGGGCGGGCTCCTTCTGCACTGGGCTGGGCGCTCTGGACGGCAGCACACAACCAGATCCGAAAAGGTGCTGTCACCATCGCCAGGAAGGAGAGGGACCCAATCTCTGTCCCTGGCTTCCGGAGCGTGTGTAGCTCCCGCAGGGGGTTGGGACAACCGGGCTAGGTGGGCGCTGTAGGAGAGGCGCCAACACACTCAGAAAGGGGCTTCATGTATTTAATGCTATTAAGTAATTGTTAAGTGTTTTAGATATAACACTGGTATTTTTTTTTAAGTCTTTATAGTTTAGGGGTGGGTAGAAATTAGTTAAAACAATATTGGCCATGAGTTGATAATTGTCTAGGCAGGGTGATGGTACCTGGAGGTTATACTGCTCTTAACTTTAGATTATGTTTGGCTTGTTCCTTAATGAAAATTTGTTGGGGTGATCGGACCCAACACCAGGCCGTGGGGGCAACGAAGTCCAGCGGAGTCAAAGGAATGAGAAAAGGCAAGAGAGAAAGTGGGACCAGAGGGCCAACCCTAGTATGGAGGCTGGAAAGGCCCTGAGCGCTGGGAGCCCATGCTATTTATTGATGATCAAAGAAACAGGTGGTGAGGATGTGGGGGTTGAAAGGAAGTGATGTATGAAGCGAATGAACTACAACTGTGACGGTTTAGCATTTTTCTTTGAAACATGGCTACTTAAGATAATGGCAGTGCTAGAAGCAAGGAGCTGGCAAGTCTAGACACGTTTCAAAGGCCGTGAGGGATTTTACCCTGGACCCAGGACATGTTCCAAGCCCTGCCTCAGCTTCTCTCCCAGCACAGCTTTTCTCCCAACAAAACTAAAGAAAGATAAGACAGAATTTAAAATGAGGCTTCATTTGTTCTTTTTCTTCTTCTTCTGAGACAAGGTCTCACCCTGTCACCAAGGCTGCAGTGCGGTGGCTCCATCTCGGTTCATTGTAGTCCCCACATCCCCGACTCAAGCGACCCTCCCACCTCAACCTCTGAAGCAGCTGGGACCACAGGCAGGCACCACCGCGTCTGGTTAATTTTTTATTTTTGTGGAGAGGGGCTTCTCCCTGTGGTTGCCCAGACTGGTCTGGAACTGCTGGGCTCAGCGCTTCTCCTGCCTTGGCCTCCCAAAGTGCTGGGATTACAGGCATGAGCCACTGTGTCTGGCCTCATTTGCTCTTGTGATGGAGCAATCTGAGAAGGCATTGGGGTTCCCATCCTAGTCCCCCACAGAACCCCTCTGTCCCCTTCCCCACCACCATCTGCAACCCCAAGAATGTGCACTGATTGGCTAGGCAGTGTGCCCTGGAGCCTCCTGCCCTCTCTGACCACCCACCAGGGATAGGGGTGGCGCCTTGATGTTGGCTTCTTTGACATCCCTTTATCGCAGGAGGAAGTTCTGTCATAAACTCTCCTCCTGGCGTTCAGATGGTGAGTTGCCTTTATTGTTTCCAGAATGTGCTGCTTACCCATATTAAAACCAAACAAAAGGAGACAGTTTGTGGAATGGAAGATGTTTGTAAGAATTGGGACCCACCTCTCAGGCCCCCAATTATAGCATTCTCATCTCTTGGCAAATGTCCCCCATTGGGACAATACTGTAAGTCATATATCCAACAAAGGTCTTGTATCCAGAATGTATAAGGAACTCTCAAAAGTCAATGGTAAGTATAGATGCATATGAAGGATCTTATTGGGGTGATGCAGATGTTCTAAAACTGGATTCTGGTGATAAATGTATGAAAATTCATTGAATTGTACACTTAAAATGGGTGGATTTTATGGTATGTAAATTATACCTCAATAAAGTTTTCTAAAAGTCAATGGTAAGGAAACAAACAATTAATTTTTTAAATGAGCAAGAGGTAAACAGACTCTTCACCAAAGAGGTATACAGAAGACCAAAAAAAAAAAAAAAAGCACATGGAAGATGTTCAAATCACTAGCCATCAGGGACATGCAAATTAAAACCAGAGTGGAATCCAGTTGCTGAAAAACTGGATCTCTCATACTTTGGTGGGATTGCAAAACGGTACAGCCACTCCAGAAAACAGTTTGACAGTTTCTTTCTCTTTTTTTCATTCATGTTATTATTATTATTATTATTATTATTTTTGACAGAGTCTCGCTCTGTCACCCAGGCTGGAGTACAGTGGCACAATCTTGACTCACTGCAGCCTCTGCCTCCCAGGTTCAAGCGATTCTCCTGCCTCAGCCTCCCGAGTAGCTGGGATTACAGACACACACCACCATGCCTGGCTGATTTTTGTATTTTTAGTAGAGACAGGGTTTTACCATGTTGGCCAACCTGGTCTTGAACTCCTGACCTTAGGTGATTCGCAGCCTCAGCCTCCCAAAGTGTTGGGATTACAGGCGTGAGCCACCATGCCTGGCCTCAACAGTTTCATATAAAGTTAAATATACACTTACCATATAACCTAGCAATCACCCTCCTGAGTGTTTAAATAAATGAAAACTTTTATTCATACACAATCCTATATGTGAATCTTTATATCAGCTGTATTCATAATTGCCAAAAACTGGAAACAGCCTAAACATGCGTCAACATCATACAACTGAACACTCCTCAGCAATACAAAAAACCCCAGCTTGATTGAATGTTGAAGTCACTATGCTGAATGAAAGAAGCCAGTCTCCAAAGGTCACTACTGTATGTTTCCATTTAAATGGCATTCTTGAAAAGACCCAACTGTAGTGATGGAGAAAAGATATGTGGTTGCCAGGGGCTAGGAGTGCAGGGAGTCAGGAGTCTAAAGGAATAGCAGCAGGGAGTTGTTCTGGATGACAGATCTTTCCTGTGTCCTGATTGTGATGGTGGTTATCTGTACATGTGTTACAATTCCTAGAACTATATATTTAAACGTCAATTTTGTTGTATAGTAATTTTTAAAATAGAATTGTTTAGAACGTCCTCCTCCATTCCACCAATATTTTGAGTGCCTACTACATGCCAGGCACTGTGCAAAAGGTAATATGTGTGAGGAGTGAATCAGAGCATCGGTGTGGGAGACAGACCTGAACCCAGCCATGATAGAGAACTGCAAAACGACCAGCGCCGTAGAGTCATGGAGGAGCAAGCCATGCCTTTTAGATGGGGAAACTCGGGATGGCTGCTCAGAGGAGGGGCATTTGGATCTGAAGGAGGGGTAGGAGCCATTCATTCATTCAGCAAACATTTATTGAGCACCTACTGTGTGCCAAGCTCGTCCTAGGCCCTGGGGATACCACCATGAATGTGAAGGAGCAGGTCCCCGTTCTCATGGAGCTCACACTCCAGTGGGTGAGTTGTGGATGACATATATGCCACCAGATAAAAGTGGCAGGTACCAAGGAGTGCTTGAGGAAGGAGGCAGGGTAATGTGATCATAGGGAGGCTGCTTTAGAATGATTGGGTGGTTAGGGAAGGCCTCTCAGAGGAGGTGACATTGAAGCAAAGAATAGATTGGAGCCATGCCCTGACTGATGTGGCTGTGGAAAGAGCTTGGGAAGCCTGGGGGAAGAGGAAGAAGGTTCAAGTAGAAGATAGGGAAGGCCAGGCATAGTGGCTCACACTTGTAATCCTAGCACTTTGGGAGGCCGAGGCAGGTGGATCATTTGAGGTCAGGAGTTCGAAACCAGCCTGGCCAACAAAAATACAAAAATTAGCTGGGCGTGGTGGTAGCTTCCTGTAATCCCAGCTACTTGGGAGGCTGAGGCAGGAGAATCACTTGAACCTGGGAGGTGGAGGTTGCAGTGAGCCGAGATTGTGCCATTGCACTCTAGCCTGGGCAATAGAGCACGACTCCATTAAAAAAAAAAAAAAAAAAAAGATGATATGGCAAATGCCAAGCCTCTGAGCTGGGAAGAAACTAGAAGTGTGTGAGGGACTGGACAAGGGGAAGTGGAGAGAGATGGCGATGGAGAGGCAGGCCGGCACCATGGCTGACGCATAGTAGGTGCTGCTATGATATCATCTTTATCCCCATTGCCCGGTGCAGGGAAGGAAGACGGGCCAGAATTGAACTGTCTGAAGCTCCCTCCTGCTGGGGCTTCCTGGGATCCCTCCAAGGCATTCAGAGAGGACAGTCCAGGCCCCCATCCTTGCCTCTTCCATGGCTGTGGCTAGTTTGATGGGGTTGATGGCCAGTGGTCAAATTTATTTAGGGCCTCATCAGCCACAACCCAGAAGGAAGCAGCAAACTGCTCACCCGGCCACTCACATCCTCTCACCCCACAACCCAGGGGGCCCTCAGTCACGCTGGGCAGCGTAGGGCCCTTCCGAAGCCGTGTGGGTCTGGAAGAGGGGCGGTAGGAAGAGCCCAACAGTGCCCAGTACGCACACAAACACGAACACCCACAGGAACAGCCGGTCTACCACCATAGCCACGTACTTCCAGTCTTCAACGACCTGCAGGCAGAGAGAAGGGCTGGTCACAGGTGCCAAGTACTGGGGTCCCTCCTTTCCCCAAGTCAGGCCCTTACTATCTGGCCAGGGACTCCACAGGCCACAGGTGTGGAACTGCATACTAGTGGGGCAAGTTCTGATTCCCAGACTGGCCTATCAGCTGGGCAGCTCTGAGCCTCTCTGGCTGTTCTCCACCTCCACCCCTGCCTGTCCCCCACAGCACTTTAGGGCCACTGGGAACTTGGGCTGTATAGAAAAGTTAGGAACGTGAGGGCTTGTTAATACCACATACTGTGATTTGAAAACAAAATCTGGTTATAAATAGGAGATAGGGCCTGAGGATCTTGAAGCCCCATCTTCTCACTTTTACCCCAAACTCACTGCCTGAGCTGGTTCTAGCTAAAGAAAGAACTAGGTGGCTCTCACCCAGTTCAGTGGGAGCAGGGAAACGGGGGCTTACAGAACACCTGGAAATCCTACTGTTTAATTTGTTCAAGTCTGTTCACAGCAGCGTCTGTTCCCTGTAATTAA